TCTGAGAGGTCAACCAGGAAGCTCTAACAGCTGCCTTTTGGCACACTGCGCCTTTCTGTAAACTCAACAAGAGCTAACTTAAGGATTTATCAAGGACCTTTGTGCCCTGATGAAAGCCAGCATTTACATATAGTCCTCTCCTGTAGTAAGGGGTGGTGCAGAGGCAGTAAGACAGCACAGCAGCCATGGGCTCCAGCTACTCAAGAGCAGTAAGCCTGGTGTCCAAAAGGCACAGCTGATTCTGAAAACTTCCTCCAGTATAAGCAGTTTACATAGATAAAAATTGGAAGTGATTTTGATCTTTCTATTGACTTTTACAAAGCGATTCTATTAGTTTCTGATTGTGAAATATAGGACGTATTACTTCCTAAGTTCGGCTGTCTAGCTTTTGAAAGCTATTGTATACGTTAATCGACCATCTTTATAAAATACTTTAACAGAGTCCAAAAGGATTCCTAAGATACTGTTCTGTGCAGTTGCTCTTAAATATAGTCCTATCTACTATACTTGCAAGTCTCATTGTTAACCTTCTTCACAGGAAATAGCACAGCCAACTTTAGTCAGATGGCCCAACTTAATGTGATAAAAAATTCCTGGTTTTAGACCTGCATCTGAGTTTTGTTTGAGTATCCTACACACATAGACTGTGCCAACTCTACTGAATGATAGCTTTGCTTGTGACTGTATGTACAGAGATTGGGAGCTCTGATGTAATCAAGCCTCTCCCCTCATCATCTAGGGCCTACTTCTTACATGTAATCAACCCAAATCCTTTAACATTTCTGCCTTGAAATGATTTTCCGGCCTTCTGGATCATCTCTGTTCAGCCTCAACCTCTCCAAGTCCTTCACCCTTTGTAGGGCTTGAAGTTCAGTGCTCTTAACCCTAGTAAGATGATCCTTTCTCAAATCCTTATGTCACATGTGGATTTGTATTGCCCTGTGATGGGTTTTGCCCCCTAGTATATTACAACGTGACTGTGTGTTATTTTGCCACTTGGGTGCAAACCCAGTTTACTCTCCATGTCATCTGAAAACTTGTGTGTCTTGTATCTAGACTTTTTAAAACATACCTCCCTGTTGTGCTATCAAATCCCATGGTGCTTGTTTCTGAGCTCAGGGAGCACCAAAAAGGGAATACTGGCCCTTCGTGGTGGTCTTCAAGTCAGCAAGTCCTCTGTATTCACTCTCCTATACCTTTCTTAATAACTCTGTTGCCTCCTTAGGGGTGCCTGGGTGGCTCAGTTAGTTAAGCATCTGACTTTGGCTCAGGTCATGATCTCACGGTTCATGAGTTCAAGCCCCGTGTTGGGCTCTGTGCTGACGACTCAGAGCCTGGAGCCTGCTTTGGATCCTGTGTCTCCCTCTCTCTCTGCCCCTCCCCTGCTCATTCTCTGTCTGTCTCTCTCTTTCAAAAATAAACATTAAAAAAATTTTTTTAATAACTCCATTGCCTCCTTAGGTGCATTCAGTAGTTTAACTTAGCAGAAGTCTGAGCCAACCATTTTCTTGTTTTCCACTTCCTTAAATGAGACACTGAATCATCTAACTGGGAGTATTGCATTTTGATGTTTGACATACTAACAATAGTTGAGATTGAGTTGAGAATTAATTACTTGTAGTTCTTTTTTTTGTTTGAATTTAGAATCTGCCTAACTTGCTTAGTCCAAAATTGCATCTTTAATGCTAGTTATCTTAGCAGACTCTGAATAGTCTAAACTCACAATTGTTATGTTTCACTCTCAGAACATACTAAACTTTCCCTTCTAAATTAAAGTAGGCAGAAAACTTCTTTGTCAAAGATGTGATAAACTGGGAAGCTTGAAGAACTACCTGTATAAGATGTAGACTGATGTTGCTGTACCCACGGTCTCTTTCATAGCAATAATGTAGTACAGGAGTTGGCACACTATGGCCTGCATGCCAAATCTGGCCCATTTCCTATGTTTACATGTAAAGTTTTATTGGAACATAGCAGTGAACATTCGCGTACATATTATCTGTGGCTACTTTCATGCTACAATAGCAGAGTTCAATAGTGTCAACAGAGACCATATGCCCTGCAAGCCTAAAATATTTACCATCTGGCCCTTTACAGAAAAAAATTTTTGACCCCTGGTACAGTAAAAAACCCTTGAACTTGTGAGTAGACATTCTGTCTACTCTTGATTTTATCTCTAAGTTGGCAGCGACCTTAATAGGTTGCTAAGCCTCTCTGGACCTCAGTTTCCTCATATGCAAAATGAGTCTCTTAGAATGAATCATCTCCTAAGGTTATAATTCTATAAATCCATAAACTGCTTTGGAACCGTTTTTGTGTTTTACATAATAGCTTTGCATTGAATATCCAAACCACATGCAGTCACTGAGTTGAGAGGACTAAATAAAGAAAACTGCTAACCATAAGATAAATTAGGAACTTGCTACTATTGTTATAAAAGAATTTACCTCTCAAGGCTCTTTGAAACAGTGCTTTCCTGGCAGAAGTTATTTGTAGATCTTTGATCATAGTAGTAGCTAGACCATGCCTTGAGATATAAACCCACCATATTAAGAAACTCAGTTGAACTTCATTTGGAAATAAAAATAAAGCATCTCTAAAATTTAGTTTCAGTGTGTGGGAAACTTTTGATACATAAAAATTCCATTCCCACCCAGCTTTTTAGGGAACATGGTATATATGTAAAGTGAAATAAGCTTCTACTATAGAAAGAAGAACTCAACATTCAGTGCTGTTTTTTTCATCGCAGTAGCTGACTATAAAATTCCGCATAAAGACTTCTCATACATTAACCCTAGACTTTCAGAAATCTGAAAAGTTGGGGCTCCTGCCTGTCTCAGTTAGAACTTGCGATCCTTGATCTCAGGTTGTGAGTTCAAGTCCCACATTAGGTGTAGAGATTACTTAAAAATAAAATCTTAAAAAAAGAGAAAAAGAAATCTAATAAGTTGCCTGGAATGGTGTCATCAAGATCACTTCTCTGTTTTTTTTTGCCTTCCCTTTCTACATTCAGTTCAATTCAATTCCATTTATATTTGTAGAAAGAAACCCTAATGCGACCCCCCGCCAAAATGAAACTTGTGGAAATGTGTTTCTATTAATGTTTTCATATATTTAATAAATGCCTAAAAAGATTTATCTTTCTGGGGCGCCTGGGTGGTTCAGTCAGTTAAATGCATCCGGCTCTTGATTTCAGCTCAGGTCATGATGGCACAGTTCACGAGATCGAGCCCCATGTTGGGCTCTGCACTGAGCACGGAGCCTGCTCTGGATTCTTTCCTTTTCTTTCTGTCCCTCCCCCATACGTGCTTTTCTCTCACCCGCTCGTTCTCTAAATAAATAAATAAACTTTAAAAAAAAAAGATTTATCGGGGCGCCTGGGTGGCGCAGTCGGTTAAGCGTCCGACTTCAGCCAGGTCACGATCTTGCGGTCCGTGAGTCCGAGCCCCGCGTCGGGCTCTGGGCTGATGGCTCAGAGCCTGGAGCCTGTTTCCGATTCTGTGTCTCCCTCTCTCTCTGCCCCTCCCCCGTTCATGCTCTGTCTCTCTCTGTCCCCAAAATAAATAAACGTTGAAAAAAAAATTAAAAAAAAAAAAAATTTATCTTTTCAGAAAAATCCTCAAGTTCAACATTTAAAATATAGACTATGTAAGTGATTTAATCCTTAAACTACCTAAATGAGTAATTGTACCTAGACCAGCAAAAGGCTGTGCTCACATTCTAGCTTTGTATTACTAAGATTAGTGACAGTTTGCACTTACAAAATGCTTTACAGTTCACAAAGCACTTTCATATACATTATGACTTTTGACAATTCTGTAAGGTAAGTTATGTCAGTTTTAATATTGACTCAAGTAGTATCAGGCAGCTAGAAAGTGGCCCAGCCAAGGAACACACCCAGATATTCCGACCCATGCCTAACAGTCGCGGAATTGAACACTTTCACAAAATAACTGGTATTGTTCTTCTTGTTACTGAAACAATTCCCAAGATTTCTCCACCCAGCAGTCCTATGTCATGCATTCCATATGACAGTAATTCTCAACTAGGAATCAGGGAAACCTGTGCATGTTGTTTAAAGAGTCACCTGTAGAGGCGCCTGGCCGGCTCATTCAGTGGAGCGTGCAACTCTTGATCTTGAGGTTGTGGGTTTGAGCCCCATGTTGGGTAGAGAGATTACTTAAGAAATAAAATAAGGGGCACCTGGGTGGCTTAGTCGGTTAAGTGTCTGACTTCGGCCCAGGTCATGATCTCACAGTTCGTGAGTTCGATCCCCGCATCAGGCTCTGTGCCGACAGCTTGGAGCCTAGAGCCTGCTTCGGATTCTGTGTCTCCCTCTCTCTCTCTGCTCCTTCCCAGCTCATGCTCGCACTCTGTCTCTGTCAAAAATAAAGAAAGTTTAAAAAAAAATTAAAATAAATAAATAAAAACAAAATAAGATCTTTAAAAAAATAAATAAAAGGAGTTACCTGTAGTTGGTTCTGCTGTGTGGCCTGAGAGTAACACATAGTCATTCACAAAAAGAGAGGGGGGCAAAGATATTAAAAAAGGAAAAGTGACTCATTCCTACTTCCCAGAGATAATGCGACTGACATTTTGGTATATGTTTGGTCTTTATATCCATATTAATCTTTTTTTTTTTTCAAACATGAGGTCATACTATAGATTGTTTTAAAACCTTTTTTATGTAACTCACAAGCATCTTTCTGTTTTATTAAACATCCTTCAGCATCATTTCATAGTGTCTGCAGAATATTCCGTTTTGTGTACATGATTGAGTTCAAGATGTGAATGGTTTCATGTACTTTCCCAATCCCCAGCGGTGTTCTTCTCATATATGCCCATGTGATTAATCTCAAGGAATCCAAACTCATTTACAAGCTACCCCTCTTCTAGCTGTCACCTCCTACAGGTTTGACTTTCTGAATAATCCTTGCATTTGTTATTGAACTTTTTTACACGTATGTGCTTTAATATCTTTTTCCATCTTTTTCTTTTAGGGTGCAGTACTAGCAGCTGTGTCAAGTCACAAATTCAACTCATTCTATGGTGACCCCCCTGAAGAGTTGCCAGATTTCTCCGAAGACCCTACCTCCTCAGGTAATTGGACCATTCGTCCGTTCACCAGTGTGAATCATTTGGTGTCTACATCTTCTCTTTTCTACCGTAAATAAACCTTTCCTGTGAATCCAGTCAGATCTCCCAAGGAATTCTGAGGAAGTTTGTCAGCAGCCAAATTCCATCCACATGTGTCTGCTTCCTTCTAATTTTACTACCGAAGTCGCTTTCCCCTGGTACTCCAAAACCAGCATTTTATTGTTTTCCTTTTACCTCAGAAGTACTTCTTCCCTTTTCCCCACTCCAGACCCAACATTGCATTTCATCCAATCCAACATTGTAGTCAGTCTTTTTGGATCTTTCTGATTGCCTTATACCCCAACAAAAAACTTCTTTTTTATTTTTTTGATGTTTATTTATTAATTTTGAGAGAGAGCATGCATGAGCAGGGGAGGGGCAGAGAGAGAAGGAGAAAGAATCCCAAGCTCTGTCAGCACAAGAGCCCACCATGGGGGCTCAAACTCACGAACTGTGAGATCATGACCTGAACTGAAATCAAGAGCTGGATGCTTAACTAACTAAGCCACCCAGGCACCCCCACAAAAAAAACTTCTGATACAAGATTTTCCCCTGTCAACTATATCAGACTTTGGGGCAACACTGCTTTTAATTTTATCTTTCAATGTAAAGCTGTCTCGTAAGTTATCTCTCGAAACAACTTACAAGTTCCTCTCTTTTTTATAAAATCTATAACACATACATACAAGCATTCAGAGGAGAACACAAAAGGGTTACCTATTTGGATCAAATGTATATAGGGACCCCTGGGGGGAACAAAATCCACTAGTGTTCACAAAATTATTTTATAAAGTGCTCAGATTTCCATTTTTATTAGTGAGGAATTCTCAAGGATCGTTTATTAAAAATCCATAGTATCCTGGGGCACCTGGATGGCTCAGTCCATTAAGGGTCCGACTTCAGCTCAGGTCATGATCTCACAGTTTGTGGATTCAAGCCCCATGTCGGGCTCTGTGCTGACAGCTCAGAGCCTGAAGCCTGCTTTGGATTCTGTGTTTCCCTCTCTCTCTCTGCCCCTCTCCCACTCGTGCTCTCTCTGTCTCTCAAAAATAAATTAAATATTAAAAAAAAAATTTTAAGCAATAATAAAAAAATAAAAAGTAAAAACCCATAGTATCCATTTATACATTTATGTAAATGCACGTATGTGTGTGTTACACTTTATAAATTTCATTTATTTATGTATTTACGTCTGAGTCCTATGCCCTCCACCCTTAGGTTTTCTCCCTTCTCACATTAGAGTCACTCAGTATCTGCCATGTGGTTGCCTTTGCGCTATTGGTTTGATTTTTGGACTGGCTCATTCGATATTCAGGTTATTTCCATTGGACTCAAGAAGCATTCGCACATACTTCCTGTATTGCTAGGGTGGTCCTTCACCACTGTGAGCATTCGTCAGTATTTCTGCTTCTTCCTTGGCTGTGTTTATACACATACGTACACAGACACGTTCCCATACACACATGTTCTTATCAATTGATATGTGCTTCTTACACCTGGTGGAAAAGAACGAAATTGAGTTTCCCCATTCCAACAGCTGTGTAGTTCCTCATTTTGACCTTTACCAACTGGGATGTGAATCTTCCTCTTTTGAGTGAAGGTGATTTCCAAAAACATTCAGAAATGGGAATCTCAGAAAAGAGACTCTCTGAAGAGAAGGTCTTGCTGGCTGCTTCTTGCTGAGGAAATGGGAGTCTCATGTCTGTCTTTTTTCTTCCAGTCCAATTTATTCCCTCCACCCGTAGCACTGCGGTTGGTGTTTGCTAGCTCAAACCTCTCTCTTCCCTCCACACTGTTTCCAGTAGACTTGTCTGGCACGAGCGGATCCAGTAATGGTTTTATGTTGTATTGTGACTACATGATGCAGTCACAAACTTGGACTATATCAAGAGATTTTCGGTCAAGATCTAACACCATTTTCATCTTAAAATCGGGCCTGGGGAGCAGTATGGTCCTCACAGTAGCTTCACAGACCTAAGCTTTACTGTTGCCCCTTAATATGTACCTCTGCCTGGCAAGAGTTTAATGAGCTCTTAAGTGTTCCATTCTGTTAAAGAGTCGAATTTTTCTTTTAGGGAAGGAATTGCCCATAGTTATAGACACACTTAATTTTCTGTCAAATACATTTTTATTACCCGGTTTTTTGTTTTTCAGTACAATCTGTAAGTGATATGGTCAAAACAGCTTCTGATTACAAAATTTGCTTTTTAAACAAAAACGAAATTTCCCCCACTGTCTTGCAGGTAGCCTGCAAGCTCTTGAATTAGTTGTTCACAATTTCACGTTCCCTCTTGCTTCCCTTTCCTGCAGTCACACCTTTTTTTTTTTTTTTTTAATTTCTGGATCTTAATGATCTTGTAAGCAGTCTGTATCTTCATTTGACATGCAAATGTCCGTCCCAAAGACAATGGGACATTTTGAAGAAAATTCTAATATTGCCCTAACTTCCACACAGCTGTCAGGAAATATTCATCTGTTCCTAAAATTAATTTTTAATACTAAACCATTTAAAGGGAGGTATTATACTACTGTATCAGCATTGTTTATGAAATAGCTCTCTACCAGCAAACTTCCCTTTCTGCAACCAACAGCGAAGGCTATATGCTTGGCGGCAGAAAGCCTATTGTATACTTATCTGGACTCACAGAAGAGCCTTACACTTTCATAAATTAACACATCTGTATTTTCAGTTTATATTTCATTTTTGTTTTTTAATATTTCCATTTTCCAGCCTAAATTTTTGTCTGTTTAACTCTAATCTTTAAATTGTGCATCATTTATTTTAAGTTGCAATATTAATCTGTCCACCATCTTTCTGTTTAAATTTGCATGGGCTTGTTTTACAGTACAAAACACAAAGCACCTTTCAGCATTACCTGAAAGTTCTTGCAAGCCTGTGGCAAAAAGAGAAAAATGATCAGAAAGCATGTGTTTCGGGACACCTGGGTGGCTCAGTCGGTTGGGTGGCCGACTTCAGCTCAGGTCATGATCCCACGGTTTGTTGAGTTCGAGTTCCACGTCGGGCTCTGTGCTGACAGCTCAGAGCCTGGAGCCTGCTTCATGTTCTGTGTCTCCCTCTCTGTCCCTCCCCTGCTCGTGGTCTGTCTCTCCCTCTCTCTCAAAATAAACATTAATTTTTTTTTTTTTTTTAAAGGAAAGAACGCATGTGTTTGTAGGGTGGGAGTGGGGGGCTCCAGGGAAGGAGGCATTGGAGAACAGTGTAAGGTTCTTGAGAAGGACAACTGCCCTTTCTTGAGAAGAACAGTCTGTTTTTCATCTTTAGATAATGCCTGTTCTTTCTATGAAATAATAATAAATAGGTTGTTTTCTTTAATGACCTTGCTTGACAAAATTAAAAGTTGACTATCCTATTTTAGTCCCCCCCAAATTCTATTTAAGATCACAATTTAAAAACAAATTTAAAATTCATCCGTTTCCCGATTTGTCATCTAAAGAAGAGTCCATCATGTTTAGGTATGCTATTTACATTGTAAAACAATTTTTATGTAAGAGATTATTTTTTCTATCCGGATTATCAAAATCAGCCCATTGTACTTTTACTAGAATTTGATGAGTTTAATCACATGATGAAGAGTGTATCGTTCCTTTGTTACTTACTAATCCAAAGTCGAAATCTTTTCTCCTATTTCGAATCAAAGTGAGAATCTGAGCCCAGTGTGGCTTTGTTGTTTGTTTGTTTGTTTTTTATTTGTTAACGTTTATTTATTTTTCAGAGAGAGAGAGAGAGAGAGAGAGAGAGTGTGTGTGAGCGGGGGAGGGGCAGAGAGAGAGGGAGACACAGAATCCAAAGCAGGCTCCAGGCTCTGAGCTGTTAGCACAGAGCCCCACAAGGAACTCGAACCCACGAACTGTGGGATCATGATCTGGGCCCAAGTCGGATGCTCAACCAACTGAGCCACCTAGGCACCCCTCGATCCCAGTGTTTTAATGACTGAAATACTTATCAGTCCTAAGGAATGTGCTCATGGAACACAAGGATTTGCTTTGGGCTCTGCTGGGGGACCATGTTTCTTGTGGCTCATCTACAGGGCCCAACTGTAGCTCGATAACCTGCTTGCTCTAAAATCATACTGTTTGTTGTTTGTCCATATGCTGCCTTCCTCCTAGGACTTCTAGCAGCAGAAAGTAGGTATCCCTTTGTTTTCCTCTAAGCTTTATCTTTTATGCAAAAGTGTTTGGCTTTGCATGGTTCATAAGCGGCTTGACTTTTTCCTTGGCTGTTTGTGTTTAGATGTTTGATTGTGAATTTTAACACTGCCTGACCACAAAATCAAAACGTACGTGGCTATATTAATTTCTCGAGGCATTACCATACAAATAGTACTAACTTCTCACTTTCATAAGAGGAAGACAGGCAGTGTTAAAATTTAAACTGCACTTACTATTACCTCACATCTGAATTTCAAGCACGAATATGGTAATTTGGGGGAAAGGGTAACTTTTTTTTATAGTTTTGCTTTCAAGAAAGCTTTCAGGGTAAGTGAATTTTCCTTTGACGATTGCACCATATGTAAGCAGTTTATACTACTCTCTATTATTGACTGAATTTTTAGTTAATTAATATGGAGCTGTGGAATAAACTCCCAAATTCATGTGTCTCAACAACTTTTACCATTGGGAAGGCCATTTATAAAGACTAATATAATGGCTAGATTTTAATTACAAATGAATGTAATTTGATTATGTGACAATATTAAAGTAAAAAGTAGGTAAGAAATTAGACACACACACACACACACACACAAATGAGTACAAATAAGAGTAAGGCTATCTGAATAAGATGGGTGGATTGTATCAGTGTCCATATTCTGGCTGTGATGACACTATAGCTTTGTAAAACGTTGCCATTGGGGACACTGAGCAAAGTATACAAGGGATCTCTGTATTTCTTACAATTGTATATGATAATCTATAATTATTTCAGTAATTTCCATTAAAACAATAGAATAAACCTTTACCTCTAGGTTGTACTTACTGGGGGGAAGTATATAAGAGACAAAAATAAATCAGAAAATATGGATGCTAATAATTGGATACATTGTCACATTGTCTTGCATTTGTTACTCATAGCTCCAATTGCACCTGATTTAATACAAAAATCTCACAGTTTGTTAGTTATCCGTTGCTGTGTAATGAATCCCCTCAAAGCAGGATTTATCCTTTCACGCTTTCTGTGGGTCAGGAATCTGGATATGGTTTAGCTGTGCACCTCTGGCTCAAGATCTCCCATGAGACTATAGTCAAGCTGTCGTCCGGGGCTGCAATCTCATCTGAAGACCTGACTGCAGGGGTGGGAATGGAATTCTCTTCCAGACTCACTGTACTATTGTTGACAGGCTGCAGTTCCTTACTGGCTAATGGGTCCCTTCCTAGGGCTGCTCACAACATAGAAGTTTGTTTCTCCCAGCATGAATGATCAAAAAGGGAGGGCAAAAGTAAGAGTGCCCCAGACAAAAGCCATCTCAGAAGTGATGTCTTATCATTTCTGCACTATTCTCTTCATCACAATGAGTTAATAAGTCCAGCCCACACTCCAGGGAAGGGATTTGATTATACAAGGGTGTGAATAGCAGGAGGCAGGATCTTGGAGGCCATTTTAGAGGCTGTCCACATTTTAATGACTATTACAATGTGAGACACTTCCCATTTGTAACTGTTTTTGTTTCTCCAGATTTAGCACGTCTCTCCTTTTTTTTTTTTTTTTTGTTTTTCAATCAGTACACCTATCATGTCATTTGGAAATGAAAGAGTCTTAGAGGTATCAAGTGGTGCTTTTCCATAGTTGTAAAGTTTTATATGAATGAGCACTTAGCAGAATGCTATTTATTTTTTTTTTCAACGTTTTATTTTATTTTTGGGACAGA